CTGCTATTGAGGGTAACGTGCTGATATTGATGGGTAACGTGCTGATATTGAGGGTAACGTGCTGCTATTGAGGGGTAACGTGCTGATATTGAGAGGTAACCTGCTGATATTGAGGGGTAACATGCTGCTATTGAGAGGTAAGATGCTGATATTGAGGGGTAATGTGCTGATATTGAGGGGTAACATGCTGATATTGAGGGGTAACCTGCTGACATTGAGGGGTAACATGCTGCTATTGAGAGGTAAGATGCTGATATTGAGGGGTAATGTGCTGATATTGAGGGGTAACATGCTGATATTGAGGGGTAACGTGCTGATATTGAGGGGTAATGTGCAGATATTGGGGGTAACATGCTGATATTGAGGGGTAACGTGCTGATATTGAGGGGTAACGTGCTGCTATTGAGGGGTAACATGCTGATATTGAGGGGTAACGTGCTGATATTGAGGGGTAATGTGCTGATATTGATGGGTAACGTGCTGCTATTGAGGGGTAACATGCTGATATTGAGGGGTAACGTGCTGCTATTGATGGGTAACGTGCTGATATTGAGAGGTAACCTGCTGACATTGAGGGGTAACGTGCTGCTATTGAGGGGTAACGTGCTGATATTGAGGTGTAACGTGCTGATATTGAAGGGTAACGTGCTGCTATTGAGGGGTAACCTGCTGATATTGAGGAGTAACGTGCTGCTATTGAGGGGTAACGTGCTGCTATTGAGGGGTAACGTGCTGCTATTGAGGAGTAACGTGCTGATATTGAGGGGTAACGTGCTGATATTGAGGAGTAACGTGCTGATATTGAGGGGTAACGTGCTGATATTGAGGGGTAACGTGCTGATATTGAGGGGTAATGTGCTGATATTGAGGGGTAACATGCTGATATTGAGGGGTAACCTGCTGACATTGAGGGGTAACATGCTGCTATTGAGAGGTAAGATGCTGATATTGAGGGGTAATGTGCTGATATTGAGGGGTAACATGCTGATATTGAGGGGTAACGTGCTGATATTGAGGGGTAATGTGCAGATATTGGGGGTAACATGCTGATATTGAGGGGTAACGTGCTGATATTGAGGGGTAACGTGCTGCTATTGAGGGGTAACATGCTGATATTGAGGGGTAACGTGCTGATATTGAGGGGTAATGTGCTGATATTGATGGGTAACGTGCTGCTATTGAGGGGTAACATGCTGATATTGAGGGGTAACGTGCTGCTATTGATGGGTAACGTGCTGATATTGAGAGGTAACCTGCTGACATTGAGGGGTAACGTGCTGCTATTTGAGGGGTAACGTGCTGATATTGAGGTGTAACGTGCTGATATTGAAGGGTAACGTGCTGCTATTGAGGGGTAACCTGCTGATATTGAGGAGTAACGTGCTGCTATTGAGGGGTAACGTGCTGCTATTGAGGGGTAACGTGCTGCTATTGAGGAGTAACGTGCTGATATTGAGGGGTAACGTGCTGATATTGAGGAGTAACGTGCTGATATTGAGGGGTAACGTGCTGATATTGAGGGGTAACGTGCTGATATTGAGGGGTAACGTGCTGCTATTGAGGGGCAACATGCTGCTATTGAGGGGCAACGTGCTGCTATTGAGGGGTAACGTGCTGCTATTGAGGGGTAACATGCTGCTATTGAGGGGTAACTTGCTGATATTGAGGGATAACTTGCTGTTATTGAGGGTAACATGATGATATTGAGGGGTAACAAGCTGCTATTGAGGGTAACGTGCTGCTATTGAGGGGTAACGTGCTGATATTGAGGGGTAACATGCTGTTATTGAGGGGTAACGTGCTGCTATTGAGGGGTAACGTGCTGCTATTGAGGGATAACTTGCTGTTATTGAGGGTAACATGATGATATTGAGGGGTAACGTGCTCATATTGAGGGGTAACGTGCTGATATTGAGGGGCAATGTGCTGCTATTGAGGGATAACATGCTGATATTGAGGGGTAACGTGCTGCTATTGAGGGGTAACGTGCTGTTTTTGAGGGTAACGTGCTGATATTGAGGGGTAACGTGCTGATATTGAGGGATAATGTGCTGATATTGAGGGGTAACGTGCTGTTATTGAGGGGTAACGTGCTGATATTGAGGGGTAACGTGCTGCTATTGAGGGGTAACGTGCTGATATTGAGGGGTAACGTGCTACTATTAAGGGGTAACGTGCTGATATTGAGGGGTAACGTGCTGATATTGAGGGGTAATGTGCTGCTATTGAGGGGTAACGTGCTGATATTGAGGGTAACGTGCTGTTATTGAGGGGTAACGTGCTGCTATTGAGGGGTAACGTGCTGTTATTGAGGGGTAACGTGCTGATATTGAGGGGTAACGTGCTGTTATTGAGGGGTAACGTGCTGATATTGAGGGATAACTTGCTGATATTGAGGGGTAACGTGCTGATATTGAGGGGTAACGTGCTGATATTGAGGGATAACTTGCTGTTATTTGAGGGTAACATGATGATATTGAGGGGTAACGTGCTGATATTGAGGGTAACGTGCTGATATTGAGGGTAACATGCTGATATTGAGGGTAATGTGCTGCTATTGAGGGGCAACATGTTGATATTGAGGGGTAATGTGCTGCTATTGAGGGGTAACATGCTGATATTGAGGGGTAACGTGCTGATATGGAGGGGTAACGTGCTGCTATTGAGGGGTAACATGCTGATATTGAGGGGTAACGTGCTGCTATTGAGGGGTAACGTGCTGCTATTGAGGGGTAACATGATGATATTGAGGGTAACGTGCTGATATTGAGGGGTAACGTGCTGATATTGAGGGGTGACGTGCTACTATTAAGGGGTAACGTGCTGTTATTGAGGGGTAATGTGCTGCTATTGAGGGGTAACGTGCTGATATTGAGGGGTAATGTGCTGCTATTGAGGGGTAACGTGCTGATATTGAGGGGTAACGTGCTGCTATTGAGGGGTAACGTGCTGTTATTGAGGGGTAACGTGCTGATATTGAGGGATAACTTGCTGTTATTTGAGGGTAACATGATGATATTGAGGGGTAACGTGCTGATATTGAGGGTAACGTGCTGATATTGAGGGGTAACGTGCTGATATTGAGGGTAACATGCTGATATTGAGGTGTAACGTGCTGCTATTGAGGGGCAACATGCTGATATTGAGGGGTAACGTGCTGATATTGAGGGGTAACATGATGATATTGAGGGGTAACGTGCTGATATTGAGGGGTAACGTGCTGATATTGAGGGATAACTTGCTGTTATTTGAGGGTAACATGCTGATATTGAGGGGTAACGTGCTGATATTGAGGGGTAACGTGCTAATATTGAGGGGTAAACATGATGATATTGAGGGTAACGTGCTGATATTGAGGGGTAACGTGCTGCTATTGAGGGTAACATGCTGATATTGAGGTGTAACGTGCTGCTATTGAGGGGTAACGTGCTGATATTGAGGGGTAACATGCTGATATTGAGGGGTAACGTGCTGATATTGAGGGGTAACGTGCTGATATTGAGGGGTAACGTGCTGATATTGAGGGGTACCGTGCTGCTATTGAGGAGTAACATGCTGATATTGAGGGGTACCGTGCTGCTATTGAGGGGTAATGTGCTGCTATTGAGGGGTAACATGCTGATATTGAGGGGTAACGTGCTGCTATTGAGGGGTAATGTGCTGATATTGAGGGGTAACGTGCTGTTATTGAGGGGTAATGTGCTGATATTGAGGGGTACCGTGCTGCTATTGAGGGGTAATGTGCTGATATTGAGGGGTAATGTGCTGATATTGAGGGGTGACATGCTGATATTGAGGGGTAACGTGCTGCTATTGAGGGGTAACGTGCTGTTTATTGAGGGGTAACGTGCTGCTATTGAGGGGTAACGTGCTGCTATTGAGGGGCAACAAGGCAGTGTGCTGTAAGCCAATCAGAATCAATCTTTGACTGGTTATAACTATTGATGGAATCTCTGGGATATGGAACTTTGAGTAAATTATGGAATGAAGCGCTGATCTATGTGGATGGAGATCAGGAGTGATGTGAATGTACGCTGTGTGCGCAAGTAAGAGGCAACTTATATTATTGAGGATTCATTTCATTATTGAACAACTCCAGTGCTGTCGGTGAATCCGAGATGTTAATAAACCTCAAACCCGAATATTTAAAGTGTTACCAAACCCCCAACAGTACAATCAGTCTGTAGATGCAGGAAAGCATGCTTGTTATACTCACTGTGGAACCTAAGGGGTTAATCCACTAGATTGTGTAAAAAGGCTGTTTGATCCTGTCTTCTCTGATCCTCCCCTTCTTCCAGTGTCCCCTAAACATCCCCTGATAGAACACAGGTTTAGAGTCACTCTGCACATGCTCATTTTGGTGTGCATTACTAGAGAGGTTCTTTTTTTTCTTTGGGAGGGTGCATGTGATCAGCACAGGGCCAATCAGCACTGCCCAGACAGAGGGTCAGGGGTCATGCAGCCCCATAGGACAGTCAGGGGAGAATGAAAACTCCTCCTGCAAACTTTAGCCAGTGCTCTGCTGATAGAAGTCACAAGACTGCTATACACTGCTGATGGGAAAAGGGATTTATCAGTTTATATTTAATAAAATAATTGCATTTCCATGTTCTGTGTTCTGTGGAAGACCAGATATAGTGAATGCGGGGTCCGGGGAGAGCGTATATAGTGAATGCAGGGTCCGGGGAGAGCGGATATAGTGAATGCTGGGTCCGGGGAGAGCGGATATAGTGAATGCAGGGTCTGGGGAGAGCGGATATAGTGAATGCAGGGTCCAGGAACACCAGATATAGTGAATGCAGGGTCCGGGGAGACCGGATATAGTGAATGCGGGGTCCGGGGAGAGCGGATATAGTGAATGCAGGGTCCGGGGAGAGCGGATAAAGTGAATGCGGGGTCCGGGGAGACCAGATATAGTGAATGCAGGGGCCGGGGAGAGCAGATATAGTGAATGCAGGGTCCAGGAAGACCAGATATAGTGAATGCAGGGTCCGGGGAGAGCGGATATAGTGAATGCAGGGTCCGGGGAGAGCGGATATAGTGAATGCGGGGTCCGGGGAGACCAGATATAGTGAATGCGGGGTCTGGGGAGAGCGGATATAGTGAATGCAGGGTCTGGGGAGAGCGGATATAGTGAATGCAGGGTCCGGGGAGAGCGGATATAGTGAATGCAGGGTCCGGGGAGACTGGATATAGTTAATGCAGGGTCCGGGGAGAGCAGATATAGTTAATGCGGGGTCCGGGGAGACCAGATATAGTGAATGCAGGGTCCGGGGAGAGCGGATATAGTGAATGCGGGGTCCGGGGAGAGCGGATATAGTTAATGCGGGGTCCGGGAGACCAGATATAGTGAATGCGGGGTCCGGGGAGAGCGGATATAGTGAATGCAGGGTCCGGGGAGAGCAGATATAGTGAATGCAGGGTCCGGGGAGAGCAGATATAGTGAATGAAGGGTCCGGGGAGACTGGATATAGTGAATGCAGGGTCTGGGGAGAGCGGATATAGTGAATGCAGGGTCCGGGGAGAGCGGATATAGTGAATGCAGGGTCCGGGGAGACTGGATATAGTTAATGCAGGGTCCGGGGAGAGCAGATATAGTTAATGCGGGGTCCGGGGAGACCAGATATAGTGAATGCAGGGTCCGGGAGAGCGGATATAGTGAATGCGGGGTCCGGGGAGAGCGGATATAGTTAATGCGGGGTCCGGGGAGACCAGATATAGTGAATGCGGGGTCCGGGGAGAGCGGATATAGTGAATGCAGGGTCCGGGGAGAGCAGATATAGTGAATGCAGGGTCCGGGGAGAGCAGATATAGTGAATGAAGGGTCCGGGGAGACTGGATATAGTGAATGCAGGGTCTGGGGAGAGCGGATATAGTGAATGCAGGGTCCGGGGAGAGCGGATATAGTGAATGCAGGGTCCGGGGAGACTGGATATAGTTAATGCAGGGTCCGGGGAGAGCAGATATAGTTAATGCGGGGTCCGGGGAGACCAGATATAGTGAATGCAGGGTCCGGGGAGAGCGGATATAGTGAATGCGGGGTCCGGGGAGAGCGGATATAGTTAATGCGGGGTCCGGGGAGACCAGATATAGTGAATGCGGGTCCGGGGAGAGCGGATATAGTGAATGCAGGGTCCGGGGAGAGCAGATATAGTGAATGCAGGGTCCGGGGAGAGCAGATATAGTGAATGAAGGGTCCGGGGAGACTGGATATAGTGAATGCAGGGTCCGGGGAGAGCGGATATAGTGAATGCAGGGTCCGGGGAGACTGGATATAGTGAATGCAGGGTCCGGGGACAGCGGATATAGTGAATGCAGGGTCTGGGGAGACCATATACAGTGAATGCAGGGTCCGGGGAGAGCAGATATAGTGAATGCAGGGTCCGGGGAGACCAGATATAGTGAATGCAGAGTCTGGGGAGACCAGATATAGTGAATGCAAGGTCCAGGGAGAGCAGATATAGTGAATGCAGGGTCCGGGGAGAGTGTATATAGTGAATGCAGGGTCCGGGGAGAGCGGATATAGTGAATGCGGGGTCCGGGGAGAGCGGATATAGTGAATGCAGGGTCCGGGGAGAGTGGATATAGTGAATGCAGGGTCCAGGGAGAGCGGATATAGTGAATGCAGGGTCCGGGGAGACCAGATATAGTGAATGCAGGGTCCAGGGAGAGCGGATATAGTGATTGCAGGATCCGGAGGAGAGCGGATATAGTAAATGCAGGGTCCGGGGAGAGCGGATATAGTGATTGCAGGATCCGGAGAGCGGATATAGTGAATGCAGGGTCCGGGGAGAGCGGATATAGTGAATGAAGGGTCCGGGGAGAGCGGATATAGTGAATGCAGGGTCCGGGGAGACCGGATATAGTGAATGCGGGGTCCGGGAAGAGCGGATATAGTGAATGAAGGGTCCGGGGAAAGCCGATATAGTGAATGTGGGGTCCGGGGAGAGCGGATATAGTAACACCTATCACTACCGCCTATCAGTGCCATATATCAGTGCTGCCTTTCAGTGCCCATCAGTGATGCCTGTCAAAGCCCATCAGTGCCACCTACCAGTGCCTCCTCATTAGCGCACATCAGTGAAGGAGAAAAATCACGTATTTACTAAATCTGATAAAAAAAACTAAGAAACAAATCCTTTGTGTATTGCTTTTGGCTTTCCTTTGATATGTGTATGTTGCATGTTCTCCGCTGATCTCCGTGTTCTCCCACTATGTGTTCCTTCACATGTCTGTCCGCTGACCATTTTACTGAATTTGGGATTTTGCTGTTTTTATATGTAAAGGCGGGACACAGGGATTTGTCATATTGGAATGTTGGAATACCTTGAGTGTTTCTTGCTCAGTATATGTCTGTGTCCTGTATATATGTGTATATAGGAAGCCGGAGTCCTTTGTGCTCCTTTATTATTCATTGTACTATAGTGCTGTGATGTACATCGGCAGGTTGCAGTAAATGCTCCAACAATGAGTGAGGAGCTACAGATCTGACCACCTGACGGGGATCAGTATTCTCCTCCTGGTGCTTCTGATGTGATTATCCCATTTTTGGGGTCTATATTGGTTGTAAATGATGCGGTATGGTAACTTTAGTAGTAGCGGTCTCACTATCCCAGCATGGAAGGATAGGCCTCAGTGATGGCTGGTCTAGTGCCCCATACACAGAGCAATCATTACCCTCCATCCCAGATCCCGATCCCGGAGGGGTGAGCCCAGACAGTGAGAAGATATAAGTATCCCATGTATACCAGGAATGTGTCTTGCCAGGTTGCACAGCGGAGGGGGGGGGGGGGGGGGCTCCCAGTGACTCAGAATAAACCATCAGAGGGTCTCCGGTGCTGATCTTCCCTGTCACATGCTTTAATTAACAAATCTAAAAATAAGTTGTTGTGCTGTGACTGCGAAGAACAAACATCACTTATTCTTTAGGAATAATTAAACAGACTCTCTTCAAAGTGACGAGCCGAGTTCCAACCAGACACCCGGGACATGACAGAGCCTTTCATGGGATCACCGAGGAGGCGAGTGACACCAAACGCTGCATCAGACAGCCAGAGGTGTGCATGGCCTAGATCAGGGAGGCTACTGGAAGTCATTCCATCCTTCCTGCTTCATTTTTCTCTTCTTTCCTTCTTCCTTCCTTTCTCCCCTTCTTCCTTCTTCTAACCTTACTTCTTTCCTCCCTCCTTTTCTCCTTCTTTCCTCCCTCCCTTCCCTCCTCTCTCCCTCCTCCCTTGCCTCCCTTCCTTTGTTCCTTCTCTATTTCCTTCCTCCCTCCTCTATTTTCTTTCTTTCCTTTCTTGTTTCTTTTTCTTCCCACCTTCCCTCCTTCCTTTCTGCTTTCTTCAATTTCTTCCCTTTTCCTTCCTTCTTTTCTTCTCTCCTCCCTCCCTCTCCTTCCTCCCTCCTTTCTTCTTCCATTCTTGCTTCCTTCCTCCTTTTCTCCTTCTCTCCTTCCTTCCTTCTCTTCACTCTCCTTTTCTTTTCTCTCCTCCCTTGCCTCCCTCTCTCCTTCCTTCCTCCCCTCCTTTCTTCTTCTAACCTTGTTTCCTTCCTCCCTGCTTTTCTCCTCTCCTCCCTCTCTCCTTTCTTTACGTCTTTCTTCCTCCCTTCTTTCCTTCCTTCCTGCCTCCCTCCCTCCCTTCCTTTTTTCCTCCCTTTATTCCTTTCTTCCTCCCTTCTTTCCTTCTTCCCTTCCTCCCTTCCTCCTTCCTTCCTTACTCCCTCCCTTCCTTCCTTCCTTACTCCCTCCCTCCCTTTCTCCCTCCCTTTCTTCCTTCCTTCCTCCCTCCCTCCCTCCCTTCCTTCCTTATTTCCTTACTTACTCCCTCCCTTTCTCCCTCCCTCTCTTCCCTCTCTTCCTTCCTTCCTTCCTTCCTCCCTCCCTCCCTCCCTCCCTTCCTTCCTTCCTTCTTCCTTCCTTCCTTCCTTCCTTCCTTCCTTCCTTCCTTCCTTCCTCCCTCCCTCCCTCCCTTCCTTCCTTCCTCCCTCCCTCCTTCCATTCCTCCCTTCCTTCCTTCCACCCTTCCTTTCTCCCTTCCTTCCTTCCACCCTTCCTTTCTCCCTTCCTTCCTTCCTTCCTCTCTTCTTTCCTTCCACCCTTCCTCCCTTCCTCTCTTCCTTCCTTCCTTCCTTCCTTCCTCCCTCCCTCCCTCCCTCCCTCCCGTCCTTCCTCCCTCCCTCCCGTCCTTCCTTCCTTCCTTCCTCCCTCCCTCCCTTCCTTCCTTCCTTCCTTCCTTCCTCCCTCCTTCCTTCCTCTCCTCCTTTCTTCTTCCAACCTTGCTTCCTTCCTCCCTGCTTTTCTCCTCTCCTTCCTCTCTCCTTTCTTTATGTCTTTCTTTCCTCCCTTCATTCCTTTCTTCCTCCCTCCCTTCCTCCTTCCTTCCTTATTCCCTCCCTCCCTTCCTTCCTTCCTTCCTTCCTTCCTCCCATCCTTCCTCCCTTCCTTCCTTCCTCCCGTCCTTCCTTCCTCCCTCCCGTCCTTCCTTCCCCAATAATCTACACACAAGACACACAACCCATGAGAAGTATTGCAGACATGACACTCTCTGGGAGATTGGGGTGAGCCCAGGGCAGAATGCAGGAGATGAACAGTGAGGATGCAGCCATAGAAGATGACACTGAAACATGTACAGCACACAATATGCACCTACAGGGTGTCAGGCGTGTGAAGTGAGGGGTCGGGGAACGTCTTGCTCAGCATTCTGCGGAGTGCAGCGGTCGGCGGCCTGTCTACTATTAGAGGAAAGACTCACAGAGGACCTCAGTAATGTGATTATATGTCCTCATCACAGCCCCGGGGTCATTACCCCGCATTCAGACACTCCGCCCGCATGTGCAGTCCAAGGAATTCTGGATTCTGGGAAACACAGAAATCCATCACCTCCCTGATGGGATCTGTAGGTGTTCTGTCCTGCAGAGCGGCATCCTTAATGTGTCCATCATTGTGCATTAAAGAGAACCTGTCATGATGGCTGTCAGCTGGGAGCCTCAGTTGCGCCGTATTGCACCCAGAAAAGCTCCCTCAGGGCTCATTTACACTTGCTTTGACTTTAACACACAATAAATCACCTACTGCTCAGCATGCACTTTGATGCTTCAGTGATGCTTCTGTGGTGATTTTTTGAAGCTTTAATGAAGCTTGGCAAATGCCCTGTGTATGTGTTGATTTTCTATTTGTTTTAAAGGGGCCCGGTAGAACCCCAGCTCTGCTGATCCTTTGCTCAGTAGTAACCCCCAGCTCCACTGAGCCCCCACTCAGTAGTACCCCCAGCTCTGCTGATCCTTCACTCATTATTACTCCCGGCTCTGCTGATCCCCTACTCATTAGAATCCCCAGCTCCGCTGATCCCCCACTCAGTAGTACCCCCAGCTCTGCTGATCCTTTGCTCAGTAGTACCCTCAGCTCCGCTGATCCCCCACTCAGTAGTACCCCCAGCTCTGCTGATCCCCCACTGAGTAGTACCCCCAGCTCTGCTGATCCCCCACTCAGTAGTACCCCCAGCTGCGCTGATCCCCCCACTCAGTAGTACCCCCAGCTCTGCTGATCCCCCACTCAGTAGTACCTCCAGTTCTGCTGATCCCCCACTCAGTAGTACACCCAGCTCCGCTGATTCTCCACTCAGTAGTACCCCCAGCTCCGCTGATCCCCCACTCAGTAGTACCCCCAGCTCTGCTGATCCTTTGCTCAGTAGTAACCCCCAGCTCCACTGAGCGCCCACTCAGTAGTACCCCCAGCTCTGCTGATCATTTGCTCATTATTATTCCCAGCTCCACTGATCCCCTACTCAGTAGTACCCCCAGCTCCACTGATCCCCCACTCAGTAGTACCCTCAGCTCTGCTGATCCCCCACTCAGTAGTACCCCCAGCTGTGTTGATCCCCCACTCAGTAGTACCCCCAGCTCCGCTGATCCTTCACTCAGTAGTACCCCCAGCTGTGTTGATCCCCCACTCAGTAGTACCCCCAGCTCCACTGATCCTCCACTCAGTAGTACCCCCCAGCTCCGCTGATCCTCCACTCAGTAGTACCCCCAGCTCTGCTGATCCCCCACTCACTAGTGCCCCCAGCTGTGCTGTTTCCCCACTCAGTAGTACCCCCAGCTCTGCTGATCCCCCACTCACTAGTGCCCCCAGCTGTGCTGTTTCCCCACTCAGTAGTACCCCCAGCTCTGCTGATCCCCCACTCACTAGTGCCCCCAGCTGTGCTGATCCCCCACTCACTAGTGCCCCCAGCTGTGCTGTTTCCCCACTCAGTAGTACCCCCAGCTCTGCTGATCCTTCACTCAGTATGCAGCAAAAACTGTGCCTAAAAGAAGGAGTGGGGATGTATTGTGGGCACTGATTCTCTAAAGGGTGACGGTGGGGAGGGATAAAACCTTTGCCATGTGTTTATAGCTCAATCGCTCTCCCAGTGACAAATTTATCACCAAGACAGGAAAAGACACCAAATCTTCACATGGAAACAGACGTCAGTAAAAAGACTTTTTATGTAGACCGGGGAAAGTCTGGACACAGTCCCACTTCTCCTGTCCTGTATGCCGGGTGTCATTCTCGGTATCTGGCCTTATTCTGTATGAATGGACTCTACACAGTCCCACTTCTCCTGTCCCGGATGCCGGGTGCCATTCTCGGTATCTGTCCTTATTCTGTATGTATGGACTCTGCACAGTCCCACTTCTCCTGTCCTGTATGCCGGGTGTCATTCTCAGTATCTGTCCTTATTCTGTATGTATGGACTCTGCACAGTCCCACTTCTCCTGTCCTGGATGCCGGGTGTCATTCTCAGTATCTGTCCTTATTCTGTATGTATGGACTCTGCACAGTCCCACTTCTCCTGTCCTGGATGCCGGGTGTCATTCTCTGGGGGTGTCATTCTCTTATCTGTCCTTATTCTGTATGTATGGACTCTGCACAGTCC